GGTTTATGATCTCAACATCTACGAAGTGTAGTCGTTTATCCTCCACCTCCATTGCGAAATTAATTCTTTCATTAAGTTCGTTTATAAATTTAATTGACAAATCCACATTTTTCTTACCATGTAATCAAAGTGCAAGTATTCGTCCAGATATTGCATAAGCACTACTGGAGATCCACAAGGAAGGAAAACCAATACGATTAATAGTCAAAAGCAAGTGTGGAGCAAAACAAACTAGCGAAATTTATATGCTTGAAGCTTAAGACTCTTAAACACCATTAAGAATGCATTGCTCGGTGAGGCAGCATAAGCATCTAAGAGTAAAATAGCGACCACAAATGAAGGGAATAATAAAATGCTTAAATAGATACAACTGGTGCATGTAAAACACAGCTATCAATGATGGCATTTTTACAAGGCCATATCTGATAATTTGTATATGGATCTTAATAATACGTTTTGATTTTTCAATTACATGTATGCCAAAATATATATCTTTAGAGCTATTATTGCAGTCGCTTCACTAATATGCTAGGGACTTTATTTCGGCAACAAGCTATTCTATTCCCCGTGTAATATTGAAAATATTTAAGAAGTGATCCATTATCTGGGAATATATTCTTCAAATGTCTCCTAAAATAATATCACTAAATTTATTGTTTGCTGAAACTACCTAGAAAGAGTATGATTCTGAAAAAGCCTATATTTCTTCCAAAACGTTCTTTTACCATCGATCGAGCATACAGATGCTATTTTATCAGGTGTAATTGTAGCATATATTAGATAATGTATTTAAGCTTTTTTACTACAGACAGCCTCTACGCATATTTTGCCTGCTTTTTCAACTTAACGCCTATAAAAAATATACGAAACCTCTAGTTTTAACAGACTTTTTCTGCGCTAGATTTTAAATTCATTTTTTTCTCTATAGATGTGATATTCTTCATCTTCCTTTATCAACGATGGATATACCCGATCGACCCAAAGCGCAAAAATGAATTCGGTGTAAGCCAACTTGAGTTGCAGCATCCTAAGGAGTCGAAACTTTCTGTCTCTGGCTCTGTAGATTCCATTTTATCATTGCCATCATCTTCTGAATCCAAAGTCGAATCTAATTGCCCGAGTAACCAAGGTGACGAAACACCAGAAGTATCCGAGCTGCGTCAGCGTAAAGACTCTGGTTCCTTACTGTGCAAGGGTGTCACTCAGGTCGTTTCTAAAGAGAATTGTAGCGAAAAGGAATTGAAGGTGGACTGACTTCCCTTTTTTCATTTTTTTCATTTTTCCTCAATTTATCTTCATATCTTCTAGGTCCCAATGCAACGAGTCTCCGATTTGCTTCTTTTTTTATTTGTCTCCCTTATATTGTTTCATCTTTCGATTTTTAGCTTATTCTGATTCATGTAATAGCATTAATTATGGCCTGATAATTTTTCTCCCTTTAGATGGCCTCCCTTTAGATGGCTTATGGCCTCTGTTCTCTGGGCCCTTGTTTCCTGAGGCTCTCTTGATCCTATTTATTCAATAATTCATCTTATCATTCACTCTTCTTAATTTACTTTTACCTGCTGAATTCGTCTCCTAGATGCAACGGACTCTGTTGGCCTCCCGTTGCACTATCAGGGCAACACCCTTTATTATCGATTGATTGAATCTATAAATATAAATGGCATTTTGTCCAGTTATCGATGCTTAGGTATATTGTGTTGGCGCATAAGCTGGGGACAAATATAATATTTATGTATGTTATTCCATCTGCTAGATTTTTAATTAAATAAACTCAATATTATCTGTTAAAATGACATATTTTTTGTTCTCATGTTTATTTATTTAGAAAGAGCTTCTTTACTTCATTCACATATCTCCAGGCCTATTATACTTTTGGTTAAAATGATGTTCTTTTTGTAATTACTGAAATTCGTTTAATTAATTGATTTGCTTAAATTTCATTGGAACTCGTTAAAAATGTGTATTGATTTGTAAGTTTATTGCTGCTTACCACATCTGTACTTTTGGGTCGCAAGCTTTATAGAATTTCTATAGCTCTCATTTTAATATGTTATTTTGCTTTTTAACTTTAGGCCCTATTACTGTATGGCCGCCCGCCTTCCTCACCTTATAAATGGCCATTTTCTTGTTTATCATGCCTATTATTAATGCCCTAGCTCTTTTAATATTCTTTCTTAGCAACCCCATTACGTGCTTTACTTGGAGCCAATTTCGCCTACTCTTTTTATCGTTTTTTTATTTCTTATCAATTGTTATTGTTGTCTATTGCCGACCTTGACTATTCCAATATCATCTTTGCAAATTACCATGCAAACAATGGTATTGGTACAACCTAGCCGGTGAATCCCTAACTGATCGTTTTGAGCACTGCCTTCTTAAGATCATTGTGAATGCAATTGGTCGTTTTTTTCATCTTGCTCTTTTTTCTTAACTTACATTTAAGACGATTTAAATCTTGCTTTTCTCAGCGCACTTTAATAATTTTGTTTTGATAACCTCTCTGTTTTAAGGAATTTTCGTATCTTTTCCTGTCCTGCTTGTCTTATTGCACGAGATTGCTCTCTCGACTAAAATCTGCTAAATTGTAAGATTACAAGTATCTATTAAAGAGCAATGGTGATAGGTGTTCATCTTTACTTTCAAAATTTTCCGGAATTTACTGGGCTCTGGTTTTTCTATTAAGTCTCAGTTCTTGCTCTTTCCTTTCTTTGCTGCTTATGATTTGTCAGATAAATAAAATATTTTGCCAGATAAACATTGGGGCTTAGTCAGCGTACTGTTTGTAATAAACTAGCTACTATTTAATGACTCACTAAAATACGATAATTATGGCACAAACAATAGGCAATTCGTTAGCTAAATGCTGGTATCATGTCGTGACTTTGTGCTTTTTATCTGATTTCTAATACTGTTCTGACGAGACCAAAGAGGAGTCACAAGTGCAGTCTATCCTGAGTGATTAAATCTTTAAAGGTTCTGGTCTATGTTAAATTTAATAGCATCGTGAGGTCTGTTAATTTCACAGTGGGAAATTTCCCTATTAGTCCTTAAAATTGCCAATGGTTACTATGGTTCTTTTTCAAAAATTACTGGTTACTTTGATACACTCACTTAAAACACTGGCATGTATTCCGACTCTTTACAATTCAATTTTACAAGCTGTGACTGCTAAAAATGGCCCATCTCATCAACAATGCCAAATACGATGCCTGTGATGTGCCAAGTCAATGTTCTGATACTGGAAATTATTATGAATATTATGGCAGAGGACGCAGAGCTAGAGACATTACACAAGGTCCACCCGTTGCCCCAATCAAGTTGTGAAAATGAAGTAAAACCATTACAGCAGCTAAAGGATACTGTAACTAAACAAAAGGTCACACCATCTTTGTCTTCATATCTACGTTCTTAAAATTCGGTTTTATAAAGTCAGGACACGGTGTGCCATCTTATGTTCAAATGGATGCAATAGTAACAATATTTAACGTGGAGAAACTCCAGCTCAATCAGAACTCGATCTGGTTCGAAGGTGCCAAATTTTCTTGTGTTCAAAGTCTTAGGGATAGCTTCTTTTCCTGTCTTTTTTGCTTGAACAGGAAGAGATATTTTAAATCTCTATGAACAAAATATATGTTCAAGGGGTCCTAATGAATTCTTATCTTTGTGTCATTTTTAAAAGGATGACTTAAGGGGGTTCCTAAACTGGCTTTATCTGAAGCCGGTTGATGGTTCCATAAATTTGTCTTTGTGAATTTTGGAGGACAAGCCTTATGCGCGCGTGCCTCGTTCTGACGGATTTAAGCTAAGTTCTTGTCGGTCATGTTGCAAATACCGCCAGGGCGTAAAACCATTAGTTAGCAACATTCACTAAGCACACAGGCCGGAGGAATGTCTGCTCTAATGCTTGATAAGGCATGGTTTCATGCTGTGACGGTGGCTATCACAGGGAAACAGGTTAAAACTAAAGACGGATCTATTGAATTCATTAGACGGTGCGCCTTGAGTTTCCACAAATATGCATTCACATCACCATGGAAATTCTTTTTTAACTCCGACAAGCCAATTTACTGATCCCTCCATCTTCACTTGTCAAATGAAATGAATGGAACAACATACTATCGGATTCTAATTGTTTAAAGCTTAAGCTTTTTATTTGAAACTGGATGCTCTGGGGTTATTTATCTTATTTTACCAAGGAGTAAACCTTTTTATTTGAGAGATTATAAAAAGTGATTTGGCCTATTTTTTCCCTATATTCGTATACCTTGTTATTTCGAACTTCGTTCGCGTTTGGGAGATTTGTCATCCTGAGATTAAATTATAAAACTAAGTATTGATTTATTACTTGCCAGTTGTTTGCCTGTTCTAAAATATTTTTTTAAAAATCAGCCTCGTCAATTTCCTCCTCAATTTGGTTACGAGATAAGCTTGTGCAAAATTTTATTAACAGCTAATATGGTCATAAGTATGAAGACACCGTGACAGCTTTGGTGGTATGCGGTATTTTTTGACAAAACCAGTGGACCAATCTCTATAAAAGTCTGTCTATATACATGCATTTATTTTAAAGGATAAAATCACCTAGCACGTCTGGCCATTTTCTCGTCAAAGCGTAACAAGACTATTGTTAAGTGAGAATTATAAACTTAGCCAGATTCCATATTACCGATTATTTATTGTTAATATAGCCTTGTCAATGCAATATTCATCAAATGTAGTAAATATTACAAATAATCCTAAATGCCAATTTCGCTACTACCCAATAGTACAACTACTAGCCGGACTAATGGTTATTAAGGATTTATCGAAATTTTTTTCCACTCGAATGATGAATGTCATTCCTTACTTATACAGCGTCTCAGCTGCATGTTGACTTGCTTGATAATTTGTAATAAATGGCACTAGACAGGCTAATCCAAGCTATGCAGCTAACCATTGATTTTAAACAAGGAGAACACTGAGATTATGGCGAAATGGGAGAGTTGGACTAAATACTGAGCAATGAGCTCACAAAAATACATCTTAAGGGTCATATGGACTTTCACAGGATAGAACCCGTACGAATTTCGGCACACGCCAATGATCTACAGTTTTCGTTGACGCTTATGTATTTTATCCGTATTCTTCTTAGATAGCACGAAGAATGAAAACAGTGGTAGATATGAAGGCCAATGGATGTGGCCTTCTGTATGGTCGTAGTCTCCTTTGTCTTTATAGTGTTGGTCCTGCTTCGTTATCGCGACTTGGTCGGAGCGTGGAATGTACCAAGTCCTGCGTCCTCTGTCATAGTCTTCGTGATTTCCAGCATCAGACCATTCACTTAGT